CATAAACACATGGATCCACAGAACCCTTCCACACCATCCTTTGTTCTTCAGCAAAACTGCTGAGGGAGTCACTTTCCCTTTTGATTTATGGGATGGTATGAGAAAATTGGAAGGCAATAATTTGTGTTGGTTTGGAAGTAAATTCGTTCTTCCTCTTCCTGTTCTTGGTCTAAAAGATTTCCTCTCACAGCCAGCCACTAATACACATGAAAGAAGTGGAGCCCATCCCTTGTCCCTGCTGTTCTCATTAATCTTTTTGTTTGTGTTTAAGGTCTTACCAAGCCAATGTTCGCCAAGGGGCCCTGGCCTGTTTCCTCTCCACTATCAAGTCAATAGAAAAGAGAGTTCTGTATGGCTACTGGTCAGCATTTGTTCCTGATGCCCCTGGTATTGGCAGCCCCCAGTCTGTGTCCCTGATGACTATTGCTCTGAAGGACCCTTCTCCAAAGGTGAGGCACTTTGAGTACAAAAATTGTTCTGTTTTCCCACTTTAATCTTAGGAGTTGTCTTCTCTGGCCCTCAGTATTTGGCTACTGCCCAAGAAACAAATAGGAAGTGTTGCCTAAGAAAACAAAGGATTGGGTCTGTATTGCCTAAACTTATGAACAAAGATAGCTGGAGTTGAATTTTCTCTTTCTAGAGAGGATTTAATGTATTTTAAAATTCTCCATCTGCTCAAAGGAGGTGCTAAAAGGTATCTCAAATGTTTTATCATTTCAGACACGTGCCTGTGCCCTTCAAGTCCTCTCAGCCTTCCTGGAAGGTTCTAAGCAGTTCCTGTCTGTGGCTGAAGATGCCAATGACCACAAGAGAGCTTTTACTCCCTTCTCTGTCACCATTGCCTCCAGCATCCGGGAGCTGCACCGCTGCCTGCTGCTGGCCCTGGTGGCTGAGTCCTCCTCCCAGACACTCACACAGATAATCAAGGTACCTGCAGATGTGCCATGTGCTCCCACTGATCTCTAGATTATGTCCCGAAGAAAGATTGCACAGAATTGCTGTGAGGTGTGAGGTGGTGGTGGTGGTGACAGACAGATCTTTGTCATCTCACAAGAGTTCACTGAGTTATCCTACAGAATCATGGAATTACAGAATGGTTTGGGTTGGATGGGACCTTAAAGATCACCTTGTTTCAATCCCCTGCTGTGGGCAGGGACACCTTTCATTAGACCAGGTTCCTCAGAGTTCCATCCAGAGTCTGGGGGTTTCTTTTCAGCACAGTTCTCTTTTTTCTACATTTTTTAAAGTCTTTTTGGAGCTGAATGAGCATATAAAATGATTCTGAAGACTCACATTGACTTCAAAACTGGAATCCAAATTGACAAATCCTTCCATGGGCTATCAAAATTCCTTGGTCTTTGTGCCACCTCACAGTAGTTAAATCCTTGTTCTTAGGAACCAAGTTTGTATCCAGTGTTCACATAGCAGATAATTGGGGTGGCTTTTTTCAGTGCCCTCAGATAATGAGCTTCCTGAGTGACCCAAATTACAAATGTAAAAGCAGACCTGTTGGAGGCCAGGCTGACATTGTAACCAGCACCTTTCTCTGTTTCAGTGCCTTGCAAACTTGGTTTCCAATGCGCCCTACAGCAGATTGAAACCCGGGCTGCTTACCAGGGTGTGGAACCAGATCAAGCCCTACATCTCTCACAAAGGTTTGCATTCTCTCTGCTGTAGTCCTCCCCTCCTCTGTGCTCCATGATTCAAAATGCAGCAGCAGTGGATGGTTATATGTTATAATCTATCTGAGGGAGGATGCTGGGCCTTCAGTGAGGTTCTAATGGAGCTTCTTTTGCTTTTTCTTCTCCCCCCATTGTCTCTTGCAGACGTGAACGTTCGAGTTTCCAGCCTCACCCTGCTGGGGGCAATCGTGTCAGTGCAGGCC